GAAGTGGTGAGAGCTGACATCTTTGATTTTTTTCTTGATCGTAGGGGGAAAGTATCACCAGTATGATGCTGGCTGTGGGCTTTTCACAGATGCCCTTGATTAGGTTGAGGAAAATGTCTTTTCCTTCCTAGTTGTTTGGATGTTTTTATCATGAAAGGATGTTGGAGCTTTTCAAATGCATTTTTTTGCATGCAACAATTGGGATGATCATGTGGTTTTCTTCCTTTATTGCATGAATATGGTATACATCATCAATTGATTTTTGTATATTAAACCAATCTTGGCATTCCTAGAAAAAAAAAATCCCACTTTGTCATGGTATATTTGGTTTGTATTTGGTTTACTAATATTTTGTTAAGAATTTCTTTAAAAAAATTCATTTTCCTTATTTATTTTTGACTGTGCTGGCTATTCATTGTTGTGTGGGTTTTCTCTAGTTACAGAGAGTGGGGGCTCCTCACTGCAGTGGCTTCTCATTGCGGAGCTCGGGCTCTAGAGCAGAGGCTCAATATTTGCTCTGTGCGGGTTTAGTTACTCCAGGGCAAGTGGAATCTTCCTGAACCAGGGATCGAAACTCACTGGCAGGCAGATGCTTTACCACTGAGCAACTAGGAAAGTCCCTTGTTGAGAATTTTCACATGTATGTTCATAAGGGATGTCAGTCTGTAATTATCTTTTCTCGTAATGTCTTTTATTTTTAAAGAAAAAATTTTAAATATTTTATTTCTTTCCTTTTTTGGCCACACTGGGTCAGTTGCATCACACAGGATCTTGACTTTTGCTGCAGTGTGCAGATCTTTAGTTGAGGTATGAGAGCTCTTAGTTGGGGCATGTGGGGTTGGGAGCTCGGAGTCTTAGCCCCTGGACCACCAGGGAAGTCCCTCTTGAAATGTCTTTATCTGGCTTTGATATCAGAGTAATATTGACCTCGTAGAATGAGCTGGAAAGCGTTTCCTCCTCTATTTTTTTGGAAGAATTTTAGAAGTAGAGTGTTAATTCTTCCTTAAGAAGTTAATAAAATTCAATAAACCATTTAGTTCTACACTTCTCTTTGCTAGAAATTTTTTGTCTACTGACTCAATCTCTTTACTTATATGTCTATTCAGAATTTACTTTGGGCTCCCCTTGCAGTTCAGCTGGTAAAGAATCCACCCGCAATGCGGGAGACCGGGGTTCAATCCCTGGGTTGGGAACATCCCCTGGAGAAAGGAAAGGCTGCCCACTCCAGTATTCTGGCCTGGAGAATTCCACGGACATGGGATCACAAAGAGTCGGACACGACTGAGTGACTTTCACTTTTTTACTGTCTACAATACTGTATTAGTTTCGGGCATACAACATATAATTCAGTATTTCTATAGGTTATACTCTGTTTAAAGTTATCATAAAATAATGGCTATATTTCCCTGTGCTGTACAATATATTCTTGTAACTTATTTTATATATGGTAGTTTGTACCTAATCTACCTTTCCTATAATTGTCCCTCCCCTTCCCTCTCCCCGCTGGTAACCACGAGTTTTCTCTCTGTGTCTGTGAGTCTGTTCCTGTTTTGTTATATTCATTTGTTTATTCTATTTTTTAGATTCTACATATCACTGATAATGTAGTCTTTGTTTTTTTCTGTCTGACATTTCACTAAGTATAATACTCTCAAGGTCCATCCATGTTGCAAATAGCAGAATTTCATTCTCTTTTACAGGTAATATTCCATTGTATATATCACCACATCTTCTTTATCCAGTCATCTGATGATGGATACTTAGGTTTATTTCATATGTTGGCTATGGTAAGTTACTGTTGCTATGAATATTGGGGTGTATCTATCTTTCTGAGTGTTTTCATTTTCTTTGGATATATACCCAGCAGTGGAATTGCTGGATAATATGGCAATACTTTGGCCACCTGATGCCAAGAGCTGACTCATTTGAAAAGACCCTGATGCTGGGAAGTTTAAGGGTGGGAGGAGAAGGGGACGACAGAGGATGAGATGGTTGGATGGCATCACTGACTCAATGCATATGAGTTTGAGTAAACTCCAGGAGCTGGTGATGGACAGGGAGGTCTGATGGACAGGGACCATCTGGTGATGGTCCATGGGGTTGCAGTGTCGGACACGACTGAGGAACTGAACTCAACTGATGGAAGTTCTGTTTTTCAGGGTTTTTGTTTTTGGCAGTTTGTGCCTTTTCAGGTTTTGTCCATTTCATTTACATTACCTAATTTGTTGTTCTACAATTGTTGATAGGATTCTCCTATAATTCTTTTTCTTTCTATAAGTTTGGTAGTAATGTCCCCACTCTCATTTCTGATTTTTAGTAACTTGAGTCTTCTCTCTTTTTCTCTCTTGATCAGTCTAGTTAAAGTTTTGCCAACATCTTGACAACAAAGTTGATTTTAAAAAAAAATGTATTTCTTTGGCTGCTCCAGGTCTTAGTTGCGGCACATGGCATCTTTGTTCCATCATGTGGAGCCTTTTGGTATGGCCTGTGGGATCTCTAGTTGTGGTGTTGGAACTCTTAGTTGGGACATTTGGGATCTAGTTCCCTGACCAGGATTTGAACCCAGGCCCCCTGCTGTGGGAGCATGAAGTCTTAGCCACCAGACCACTAGGGAAGTCCCCAAGAGGTTGATCTTTTCAAAGAAGTAATTTTTGGTTCCATTGATTCTATTGTTATTCTATTTCTAATTTCATTTATCTCCACTCTAATCTTTCTTATTCCCTCTTTATACTTGCTTTGGGGTTAGTTTGCTCCTTTGTTTCTAGTTTTTTAAGGTGGAAGCTTAGGTCGTTAATTTGAGATCTTTCTTCTTTGATAGGTTTACAGGTACAAATTTCTCTCTGAGCACTGTTTTCATTGCATCTCTTTGTTTCTTTTTATTGCTAAATAGTATTCCACTAGACAGATATACCATACCTTATTTGATTTTTATTTTTTTCGGTTGAGATTTTGCCTTTGAAAATTATTTGTTCATGTCTTTTGTACTTAAAAAAACATATTTAAAAGAAAAAGAAAAAGAAAAACATTTCATTCATCTGTTCATTCGTTGATGGATATTTGTGTTTTCTCCACCCTGGGGCTATTCTGAATATGTTGCTATGAATATTTACATACAAATTCTTTTCTGTATATACATGTTTTCAATTCTTTCAGGTACCAGGAGTGAATTCCTGTGTTACATGATAACTCTGTGGATAAATTTTGGCAGCATTTAGCATGGATACAATAATATTAGCTAATGAAGACATGCTCAAATTTCCTCAATAGTACCAACAATTCATAGCTCTGGCATGGAGGTAAAATTTATAAATGATGAAATGTACAACTCTTAGGTGCACATTTCAGTGAGCACATACATATGTATATGAAAATGAAAGTCACTCAGTCGTGTGTCTGACTCTGCAACCCAGGCCAGAATACTGAAATGGGTAGCCTTTCCCTTCTCCAGGGGATCTTCCTAACCCAGGGATCAAACCCAGGTCTCCCGCATTGCAGGCAGATTCCTTACCAGCTTAGCCACCAGGGAAGCCCATACATACATATATATATGTCTGTATCTGTGCTACCACGACCCTCAAGCAGAATACAGATCCTTTCCAATGCCCCTGAAACTTTTTCTTTCCAGCAACTCCTCCCCACGCACACCTGTTATTATTATGGTAAAAGTAGCTCTGGGGGTGCTCATAAAGGACTTTTTTTTTAAGGATGTTTATTTATTTATTTATTTATTTTATTGAAGGATAATTGCTTTACAGAATTTTGTTGTTTTCTGTCAAACCTCAACAGGAATCAGCCATAGGTATACCTATATCCCCTCCCTTTTGAAACTCCCTCCCATCTCCCTCCCCACCCCACCCCTCTAGGTCGATACAGAGCCCCTGTTTGAGTTTCCTGAGCCACACAGCAAATTCCCCTTGGCCATCTCTTTTACATACAGTAATGTAAGTTTCCATGTTACTCTTTCCACACATCTCACCCTCTCCTCCCCTCTCCCCATGTCCATAAGTCTGTTCTCTATGTTTGTTTCTCCATTGCTTCCCTGTAAATAAAGACTGATGTTTATCTCAAGAATTTGCAAGACACATTCCTTCCTCTTTTGAACTTGGAGGCAGCCTGGGGAATGGGGCAGATTATGAGCTCTGGAGTTAAACAGACCACGCTCTTACTTTTAAGTCTGCCATTTACTGGCTGAATACTATAGGCAGGTGAACTGATATCCCTGAGTCTCAGTTTTCTCCATGTAAAAGTGGGTGAGGTGTGAAAATTAGTCAGAACCATGTATCTGAAACACTGGCCACCCCGTGGACACCTTCCAAACATCAATTTCCTCTCCGTTTCGCACTCCCTCTCCCTTATTTGGCTCTCAGAGCAATCTTCATTCAGTCATTCAACTCAGCTCAACTACGCTGTGTGTCAGGTCCTCATCTCTGGGGCAACAAAGTGAATTAAAACAGCCACTGCTGGACTTCCCTGGGGGTCTGGTAGCTAAGAATCTGCCTCCCAATGCAGAGGATGCAGGCTTGATCCCTGGTCGGGGAACTAAGATCCCACAAGCTACAGGGCCACTGGGCTCACGTGCCGAAACTAGAGACTGTGCGCTGCACAGAACGACCTAGCATGCCATAGCTAAGACCCGACACAGCCAAATAAATAAATATTAAAAAAAGAAAAGCCACTGTCCCTGTCTTCATGGGGGTTATAGTCAAGAAGGTGGTTAAAGGAGTAACACTTTAGAGCAAGGTGAAGAAGCACCCAGTGCTCTGAAAGGGCATGACGAGGGCCGGACGCTCTCAGCGCTGCTGTCCAAAGAGGGAGCTAGGCAGAGGTGAACCTTCAGCTCAGAACTGAGTAAATAGGACAGAACGAGGCCAGGCTTTGGGGGACATAAAGTAGGCCTTTCCACGAAGAAGAAACAGGCTGCGCAAATGCATTGTGGCAGGCAAGAGCATGGGGCATTCAAGGAACCACAGACAGGCCCAGGCAGCCACAGCAGGGGCCAGATGTGGCTGAAGCTGGTGAGGACCAGGCCTCCCCCGGCAGCCATAGTTAGGAATCAGGTCTTCAGCACAGGAGCAGGGACAGGCGCGGGTGACTTTTCAGCAGAGGTGAGGCAGGCGCACGATACGATCAGATCTGCCCCGAGAAGAGAGGGCAGTGTCACATCCCGAGACCAGGGCAGGATCTGCATGCATCTCGGTGAGGAACTGCAGCAGGGTGGTGGTGGTGGTGGACGTGGAGGGGAGTGGTCAGAACTGAGAGATATTTAGGCATTTATCCGGTTCATTGAATATTCATTGGAAGGAGTGATGCTGAAGCTGAAACTCCAATACTTTGGCTACCTCATGAAAAGAGCCGACTCATTGGAAAAGACCCTGATGCTGGGAAAGATCGAGCGCAGAAGGGGACGACAGAGGATGAGATGGTTGGATGGCATCACCAACTCGATGGACATGAGTTTGAGTAGACTCTGGGAGTTGTTGATGGACAGGGAGGCCTGGCATACTGCTGTCAACGGGGTCACAAAGACACGACAGAGAGACTGAACTGAACTAAACTATCCGGTAAAACCCACAGGTCTCGGAGATGGCCTGGACATAAGAAGGGAGAGACAAGGAGGACTGTGGTGCGAGGCATGCGTCAAAGGGCGGTGCCGGTGAGATCGGAGCTTCCCGAGGGGACCAGGGCTGAGGGATTGATCGGGGGACCATGCTGAGCTGAAGAAGCCGAGGTTCTGCGACGGAAAGGGACTGGCTGTGGGCAGATGATGGGGTGCGGTGGGGATGGGCGGTAAGGCTCTTATAAACACCTGCTGCTCCCGAGGAAGCTTCCAGCTGGTGTGTGGGGGTGGGGAGGGGGTGGTTAGAAGTGCTCCACTGCTTCAGATCTGGGAGCATTCTTATCTGAGTATTCTGGAAGCAACTTTGCGCCTCTTCTGGAAGATGGAGCCAGTGAGAACAAGGCCAAGAAACTGTTTCCTGAGCGTGCAAAAGCATCCTGGTAGCAGCTGGTATCCCGGCTGACAGTGCACAGTGCCCGGTACAGGAGCGGTGCTCCGTAACCCGTGACCCTCTGCTGTGGGGGGCCCGGCACCTCCAGGTTGGGGGACCTCAGATTTAAGACTTTACTCAAGGCAGGAACTAAGTGTCAGAACAAAGAGGTTAAGTTTGGTTCTGAAGCCTCCCTGGGCTCAGGAATTTGAAAATGATGAAATTGATGCTAATAGAATTGTGAAGTTGAATTTTAATTTCCAAAACACTTTCACTTTCCCCTCCCCTCCTGAGTGGCAGGAAAAGAGATAAAATTCCCAAGCTGGGAATATAATTATATCCCATTCAGACACTTGGCAATTTGCCCCCAGTTAGCACTGAATTCTGAAAATAGGGAGAAAGTAAACATTGGCTGGGGGCCACGGGAGAAGTGGCAACAAATTATTTTTCTTTAAAGAATTGCAAGTACTAAGAGACCAGTTTATGGAATGTGCTGGGGTGTTCTCCCAGAAAAGAGGACGGCCTCACTGGGCTCTCCAGAACCTTCTGGGTCAGACGAGAGTGAGGCACTTGGGGCACCTTCCCCCAGCCCCACCCTGCTTGTAAGACCCCAGGACTCAGTAGCAGTTCAGGACAGGGAGGCACCAACTCCTCCCACCAATTTTATGCACAGGCTCTCCCACCCCTAATCAAGTTAGAAGTCTGAGGGAGGAGCCGACCCCTGGTTGGCACAGCCCCAGCCGGCTGCCTTATACTCAGGGTACCCAACACGTAGAAGTGTTTAATGCACACTCAGTATACGTTAAGACATTCTGCTATGCGCTCTGCTGGTAGCAAATGACATTGACCCATCTCTTTCTAACAGGGAGCTCATTGCTTCATAGAAAAGACCCAAGTAGGAAACGATTTACCCAGATGTGGTCTTAAATAACCTCAGATCACATATTGAGAAGGCTTTCCTTTTTCAATTTTATTTCACTCTCTCTGGGCCAAATATATCATCAACACCTCCCTACCACTTGTTAAAAGCCCTTGGCAGGCAATGGATTCAAGCTAGAACTCACTGAATCTATGGTCGTGTTACCTTCTATTCATGGCAAATGAAATTGGCTTCCTGTTTTCAATAGTGAATTAATTCTAAAATGAATCTATCAGAATAAAAAAAGGAAAGAGTCAATCCACTGGAAGAAGTGTATCAACCAGTCACTGTACAGGTGGTGACACACACACGCGCCAACAGCCACCTGTAAGCAAGAGGAAGGGGCCCACCCAGCTCCACGGACTCACAACTGTCCTATGGAGTCCTGGTCCCACCTATTTCCAAATACCCCAGAGGACGGAGCATTTTCCTTTTGGCCTGGGATCAACTGAACCTTCTAGGGATAAAAAGCGATTGTTTTCTGCAGGGGGTGTTTTCCTCCCTCCAGCCCCTCCTCTTGGGAAAAACGTCAATACAAACAAAGCCATCTGGACTCGCTCAGGTGTTGTTTGGGTGAGTTGAGCCTTGTTTTGCAACTAAGGTCTTGAGATATTTTAAGGGATAAGGAATATGTAAGGGCCATATATTGTCACCCTGCTTATTTAACTTATATGCAGAGTACATCATGTGAAATGCCAGGCTGGATGAAGCACAAACTGGAATCAGGATTGCCCGGAGAAATATCAATAACCTCAGATATGCAGATGACACCACCCTAATGGCAGAAAGTGAAGAAGAACTAAAGACCCTCTGGATGAAGGTGAAAATAGAGACTGAAAAAGCTGGCTTAAAACTCAACATTCAAGAAACTAAGATCATGGCATCTGGTCCCATTACTTCATGGCAAATTGATGGGGAAACAATGGAAACAGGGAAACGTTTTATTTTCTTGGGCTCCAAAATCACTGGGCATGGTGACTGCAGCCATGAAATTAAAAGGTGCTTGCTCCTTGGAAGAAAACCTATGAAAAACCTAGTGAGTATATTAAAAAAGCAGAGACATCACTTTGCCAACAAAGATTCATCTAGTCAAAGCTATGGTTTTTCCCGTAGTGATGTATGGATGTGATAGTTGGATCATAAAGAAGGCTGAGTACTGAAGAAATGATGCTTTCAAATTGTGTTGGAGAAGACTCTTAAGTCCCTTGGAGAGCAGGGAGATCAAACCAGTCAATCCCAAAGGAAATCAACCCTGAATATTCACTGGAAGGACTGATGCTGAAGTTGAAGCTCTGATAGTTTGGTCCCCTGATGTGAAGAGCTGACTCATTGGAAAAGACCCTGATGCTGGGAAAGATTGAGGGCAGGAGGAGAAGGGAAGGATGAGATGGTTGGATGGCATCACTGACTTGATGGACTTGAGTTTGAGCAAACTCTCAGAGATAATGAAGGACAGGGAAGGCTGTGTGCTGCAATCCATGGAGTTGCAAAGAGTCAGACATGACTGAGAGTCTGAACAACAACAAGGGATAAGAAAAAAGAGCCGGCTACCCACAGAGAGAGAAAAGGGATGACTCAGGGCCACCAATTCCAAGGTTACAAACCCAACTCCCAGCACCAGGGCCCATTTTAGACCTTAGCTGCCTGAGCACTGTGGTAGCCCTTACTATTCTCTTCCCATGTAATTAGAAATATTTGTCGCTGCTGTTCATTCACTAAGTTGTGTCTGACTCCTTGCGACCCCATAGACAGCAGCTTCTTCTGTCCTCCACTATCTCCCAGAGTTTGCTCAAATTCATGTCCGTTGAGTCAGTGATGCTGTCTAACCATCTCATCCTCTTTTGCCCCCTTCTCCTCTTGCCCTCAATCTTTGCCAGCATCAGGGTCTTTTCCAATGAGTCAGCTCTTTGCATCTGGTGGCCAAAGTACCGGAACTTCAGCTTCAGCATCAGTCCTTCCAATGAATATTCAGGGTTGATTTCCTTTGGGATTGACTGGTTTGATCTCCTCACTGTCCAAAGGACTCTCAAGAGTTTTCTCCAGCACCACAATTTGAAATATAAATAACATTAAAAAACAAACATCTAACACACATGCCAAAGCTAAAACTAGTTTATGCTTCCATATTTGAAATTTCATGATTGCAGAATTTTGAATGAGATTGTCCAAATGAGCTTTTAAAAATCATTTATTATTTATTTAGGCCACACCAAGCGGCATATGGGATCTCAGTTCCCTGATCAGGGAATCATACCAGTGCCCCTGCCTTGGAAGTGCAGAGTCAACCACTGGACCACATGGGAAGTCCCTGAAATGAACTTTTATTCTTGAGTTTTGTCTGGACTGGGGGGCAATTCTTCTACCCTTCTGGCACCCTGGGCACATCTTTTTAGCCTAACCACTAGTTGCTAAGGGAGGGTGGGAGTGGAGAGAGGGCGGGGCGGGAGCGTGACCCGGCCCAGCCCAGGGACTGCCGCTGGCCTCTGCTGCGAATGCTGACACGTCACCTGTCAGGTTCACTCCCTGCTGCTGGTCGGACGTCAGCCTTTCCACCAGCCGGACAGGGACCTGTCTTGTCTCCCTGGCATTAACTGGATTCTCAGCAAGCAATTATCAGTTTACTCCACAAAGACCCTCTTGAGCTGGGCACACGGAGAGATCAGGAAACAGATGTAGAAAATGGCCCAAGAATAAGAAATAAACTCGTGCACCATCCATTATCATGATACACGGTAGCGATGAGACATGCCATTTCTAGACCATCAGAGCAAGGCGGGGCCAGAGACCCTGCCTCGCCCAAACTTGTCATTTCACAAAAAGGAAATACGATTTTGGTGTTAACAGTGGCTCCTGCCAAGGAGGGATTAGTGTGCGTGTACTTTAATTGAGGGCGGGTCCTAGCACACAGCGGGCTCAAAACAAAAATGTTCAGTGAGAGCTTTCCCAGTGGCTCAGTGCTAAAGAATCCTCCCGCCAATGCAGGAGTCACAGGTTGGATCCCTGATCTGGGAAGATCCCGCGTGCCACGGGGTGACTAAACCCGCGTGCCATGATGATTGACTGTGCTCTAGAGCCCGGGAACAGCAACTAATGAAGCCTGTGCACCCGCGATCCCGTGCTCTGCAACGTGAGAAACCTACGCACTGCAGCTAGAACCTGCTCACTGCGACTAGAGCGGCCCCTGCTTGCACAAGTAGGGAGGCGTCTGCGCAGCAACCAAGACCCGGGCCAGCTGGAAGTAAATAAGTAAGTCAACTTACCAAAAAAAGAGGGAAGCTTTACTGAATTTG